GGGTTGAAATTGGAAGTGTCAATGGAAACTTTAATACACATGTGGGCTTTAATACACAGATAACTAGATATAGGAACGGGTACAGATGCTGAATGTGCACATGTATGTATATGGATGAACACACATTCATCTACTTCCTAACTCCATCCAGAAGACAATCAACAACCAATGATATTCCCAAGATCATTAAGTTACTTTAAATCATGGCTTTTGAACACAATAGGCCAATAATGGACACAAGTCTCCTCAGAGAAGCAGCTTATTATATGGTTGAAATGAAGAAAATATCAAATAAGCCTAGAACTTTTTTTTTTTGGAACTTTTCTGGCAATTTATTTTAACTGCGGCAACACAGCTTTCCAGAATGCCAGGTTAGATCAGGTTTTGTTTCTCCACTGGGTGGATCCTATCTCTAGCGCCCCCTATTATATTCTTACCAGAAAAGTAAAGCAGCTTATTAAAATCGTCTTCTTTTAGCCAAACACAAAGCACCAGCTAAGAATTTAAAGTCAAAATTTAACTGTTTTAAAAGTATTTCTATAATGGGACCCCTACCCTGAGCCAATTTTGCACATGGAGTTTCAAAGTTGCCAAACTCTAAATTTCATAAACGTCCTCTGGCAACTCATGTCCCTGATTTGTCTAGGAGTATAAAAGTATCTTCAAGTATCCTCCCAAGGTCTCTTGATGTCCATTTATTCCAGAATCCTAGGGAGGTGGTCTTTTTTAATATTCAGAAAAAAAAATTTTCTCTAGACGTTAGTGGCAATAGGAGTTAGAAACCTCATGGTCAGTGGGTGCACTTGGAATACAGATCTTTGTTTGAACTCTAGTGACCCATCCACATGAAGGGGCGATACTGAGAACCACTTGGTTCTGTGAAAGGCCATCAGTGGGAACTTCTTGACAGCATGAAGACAAAAAAGAGCACATAACTCATAAGGTTAAGGAAACAGAAGTCTTCACAACTACCTAAATGAGCCAAAGTAAACAACAAACAAACAAACAAAAACAGGCATTTATAAACCCCTACACTTCAATGTGGTGGATATGAGCTGCTTTTTGGTGGAGAAAAATATGTCCTAAACTGGTTCCAGACACATAAGGCTTACCTGACTCCTTTCTTTGTCCACTTTCTTAAAACACTTATTCAATGACAAATTATGTCTCACTGAGTTTTTCCACCCAGTAGATGCATTCGCAAAATACGGAAAATGTTCCAAGATCCAGTTGTAGATATCCTTCACGGGCAGGCGCTTGGTTGGAGGGTCCTCGATGGCCATAAATATGAGGCAGCCAAAGGAGTAGGGGGGCTTGCAGTTGGGGTTCTGCCTGGCATCACAGGGCATGTCAGAGTGGGCTGGGGATGGAGGGGTGTCGTCGTCCAGGTCCTGGACGGGGCTGACACTCCTGACGACCGACTCCCCAAAGCCTCTCATGCAGCCAGTTCAGCTCTTCATCTTCCCCGGTCCCCTCTTCTAATCTGATGTCAGGCAGAGAAAAGTCGAGGTCATCGTCTTCCTGGAGGGCCTTGGAGAAACCACTGCCCGGTAACACTGGCTCAGTCCAGTGGACACACTAATTCCTGAGCTTCCTGGCTTCTTACTGGCGACATGACTGGACCCATTTACGTGAAGGCTCCTGGCTGGAGCGGGCACGGGGGCGCCGCTGCCCTTCAGCGGAGCCGACAAACTTTCGCGGGCGCCCAGTGGGCATCGCTTGGTGGCCCCGCTAAGGACGCGCGGGCGGCAGGGACGCAGGGGTCGCGGCGCGGCATGGGACTTCTGGCGTCCGCCTGGCGCCAAGCCTAGAACTTCTTGATGTCAAAAAGTGAGGAAGTTCTCAAAAAATGATAGGGAAATGGGCTAAAGGAGAGAAGAACTTGAAGGGATCCCCTGGAATAAGTAGATTACCCCTCCCACATCATTACAGGAGTATAATATATTTAATAAAGTGACCAAGAGTTCACAGAGACATAAGGAAGTAAGCTAACAAGCATGGAGTGGCAGAGGGAAAACTCTTCGTTTCTGTAGAATTCTGATTAATAAAGGAATGATGGAATTATTCCAGAATGATGGAATGAGAAGAATCAACATTTGACAAGCACCATAACAGATTGGAAGAACCAATATTTAAAATCTGTGCATAGAAATTTGAAAAGTAACTAACAGGGTATTTATATCATCTCAAAGTATCTCCCCAAAAGACAGTTATGTAAATGCAAAGGACAGGACAACCATCTCACAGTGAATACTCAAGAGGTACTACCTTAACCAAGTGGCTAACGCTGACTAGAGCCAGATGGGAATCACCCACGGTGACTAACTCCTGATAGGACACACTAAAAAGAATTCAGCACCGTTTTTATATTCCTGCTAAAAATAATGTAAATTTAACCACAAGGATACATTATCGGTCAAATCCAAAATGCCAATGTTATTGTGACACACAAAGATATTAGGAAGAAGACTAAAACTTTAAAGTCAGAACTGTGGGTGTGTTTAGTGTTGTTCCCCCCCCCCC